CATTCTTTATCTTGATTTTTATTTTTTTTTTCGACACACAAAAGTTTTTAGGGTACAATTTATTCCGTTTTTTTCTTTTGCTATAAAATCATATTTGACAATAAACCGTCATTCTTATTTTACTATTTTAAAAAAAAGGAAAAAAAAATTTCTTTCCATTACACTGAACTTACACTCTCATCCAATTTGCTTCTAGAATCTATCCGGAAGTGATCGGTAGTTATTAAAAAAAGAAAAGGCTTTCGGAATCTATCCGGAAATGATTAGTAAATAGTTATGAAAAAAAAAAAGAAAAGTTCAATAAAGGTTATGTAATTGTTTACAGATCATAGCTTGAAAAAAAAATAAATGAGAATGAATTGAATTTGATATTGTCATAAAGACAGTAAGAAATGTCATCTGATTTGTCATCTGAAATATTTTTTAAAAAGAAGCAGAAATTATCATCGAAAATGCTTTGAAAGAAATGAAAATTGTCTAACTGAAATGTCCTTAAAAGAAGCGAAAAATTATCTTTTGTATATTTGTATGAAATTAAGAGAAAAAAGGAAAGAAATTTAGCGAAATATTAAACTAAAATATGAAATAGCTTTTTTATTCGTTTAACATTTTACAATTATTATTTCAATTATTCGATTGATAATTTATTCATTTCTACACTGTTTTAACATATGGAAATAAAGTGCTGTAAATTAAAGAACTATTTGATTAATTAATTAAAATTAATAAAATGTTCGGAAAATTTGTCACTGTTATGCTTAACTTTTAACCATGAGAAAATTTCAATTCAAAAGTTTATAATTTATAAAAATGATTGCTATTTTTCATCTTTTGGTGGGAAAAAAATTGATAATATATTATTTGATAAAATTGCTAGCTGATTAAATTTTAAAAGATAAAAGTAGGTTAAGTTATTTAGAAAAGTGTCAATCATCGGTGTAAGTTATTTAAAAGGTGGCAATATGTTATGTTATCCGGTTAAGCAAATATATTATGTCATCCGGTTAAGTATTTAAAAGGTGGCAATATGTTATGTCATCCGATTAAGTATTTAAAAGATGGCAATATGTTATGTTATCCGGTTAAGCAAATATGTTATGTCATCCGATTAAGTATTTAAAAGGTGGCAATATGTTATGTCATCCGGTTAAGTATTTAAAAGGTGGCAATATGTTATGTCATCCGATTAAGTATTTAAAAGATGGCAATATGTTATGTTATCCGGTTAAGCAAATATGTTATGTCATCCGATTAAGTATTTAAAAGGTGGCAATATGTTATGTCATCCGGTTAAGTATTTAAAAGGTGGCAATATGTTATGTCATCCGGTTAAGTATTTAAAAGGTGGCAATATGTTATGTCATCCGATTAAGTATTTAAAAGATGGCAATATGTTTTGTTATCCGGTTAAGCAAATATGTTATGTCATCCGATTAAGTATTTAAAAGGTGGCAATATGTTATGTCATCCGGTTAAGTATTTAAAAGGTGGCAATATGTTATGTCATCCGATTAAGTATTTAAAAGATGGCAATATGTTATGTTATCCGGTTAAGCAAATATGTTATGTCATCCGATTAAGTATTTAAAAGGTGGCAATATGTTATGTCATCCGGTTAAGTATTTAAAAGGTGGCAATATGTTATGTCATCCGATTAAGTATTTAAAAGATGGCAATATGTTATGTTATCCGGTTAAGCAAATATATTATGTCATTCGATTAAGTATTTAAAAGGTGGCAATATGTTATGTCATCCGGTTAAGTATTTAAAAGGTGGCAATATGTTATGTCATCCGATTAAGTATTTAAAAGATGGCAATATGTTATGTTATCCGGTTAAGCAAATATGTTATGTCATCCGATTAAGTATTTAAAAGGTGGCAATATGTTATGTCATCCGGTTAAGTATTTAAAAGGTGGCAATATGTTATGTCATCCGATTAAGTATTTAAAAGATGGCAATATGTTATGTTATCCGGTTAAGCAAATATGTTATGTCATCCGATTAAGTATTTAAAAGGTGGCAATATGTTATGTCATCCGGTTAAGTATTTAAAAGGTGGCAATATGTTATGTCATCCGATTAAGTATTTAAAAGATGGCAATATGTTACGTTATCCGGTTAAGCAAATATGTTATGTCATCCGATTAAGTATTTAAAAGGTGGCAATATGTTATGTCATCCGGTTAAGTATTTAAAAGGTGGCAATATGTTATGTCATCCGGTTAAGTATTTAAAAGGTGGCAATATGTTATGTCATCCGATTAAGTATTTAAAAGATGGCAATATGTTATGTTATCCGGTTAAGCAAATATGTTATGTCATCCGATTAAGTATTTAAAAGGTGGCAATATGTTATGTCATCCGATTAAGTATTTAAAAGGTGGCAATATGTTATGTCATCCGATTAAGTATTTAAAAGATGGCAATATGTTATGTCATCCGATTAAGTATTTAAAAGGTGGCAATATGTTATGTCATCCGATTAAGTATTTAAAAGATGGCAATATGTTATGTTATCCGGTTAAGCAAATATGTTATGTCATCCGATTAAGTATTTAAAAGGTGGCAATATGTTATGTCATCCGATTAAGTATTTAAAAGGTGGCAATATGTTATGTCATCCGATTAAGTATTTAAAAGGTGGCAATATGTTATGTTATCCGGTTAAGCAAATATGTTATGTCATCCGATTAAGTATTTAAAAGGTGGCAATATGTTATGTCATCCGGTTAAGTATTTAAAAGGTGGCAATATGTTATGTCATCCGATTAAGTATTTAAAAGATGGCAATATGTTATGTTATCCGGTTAAGCAAATATGTTATGTCATCCGATTAAGTATTTAAAAGGTGGCAATATGTTATGTCATCCGGTTAAGTATTTAAAAGGTGGCAATATGTTATGTCATCCGGTTAAGTATTTAAAAGGTGGCAATATGTTATGTCATCCGGTTAAGTATTTAAAAGATGGCAATATGTTATGTTATCCGGTTAAGTGCTTAAAAGATAGTGTGTTATCCGGTTAAGTTATTTAAACGATGGTGTGTCGTGTCGTCCGGTTAACTTATTAAAAAATAATAGGATGTTATCCGATCAATGAAAAGAGTATCATTTGGTGAAAAGATAAATACATGTAAATACAACTTTAGAACAATAAAAAAATGTTAGCTTTGTTTATAAGTTCGATTGTTCAAAGAAAAGAAATGCAAACATTTCTAATGCAAATTTAGAAATCACAAAAATTAGGTTATTAAAGAAAAATAAAAAAAACAACAAAAGATAAATGAATTATATCAGTACATTTCCGCTGAGCGCAAAAAGTCACAGCAAATTGGTCTAAAATATTAGCTATAGCGCTGCAATACTCAACCACACTCTTGGCGCAGCATTTTTTCAAATTAACCGAACTTCGGGTAAAAAAGTTCTGTAAGCAGCAGGTGGTTCCCATGATTACCCGCCAAGTTTGATATTATCAGTTTGAGTGGCAATAGAATGATTAGCAGATACTTTAATTTATGCTAAGATTAGATTTCAAATTTAATTTGTATATTTAATTGTTTTATTGGGAGAAAAAATAAAGTGTATGAGAAAATTTCATCAATATTTATTTCTTCATTACTAAAAAAAAACGAAGTAGATGGAAAAGTGATCCAAATTATTCAAAATGATAAATTATTTAATGCTGCTTAATTAGTCGCTAATTAGTTGCTTGCTTATTTAATGAATGTTTATGGCAATGATACAGTTCTAATTGGATGAAATTTTAATAATGTAAATGAATGATCTTAATATATATTAGTATAGTAGATTTATTAATAAGTTTAAAAATTTCTTTATGAATTTAGAATGATTTTATGAAAGAATTCATAACACATAAAACATGCTGAGAAGAATATTGTGATTAAATCACTACATAATTCTTTTGATGTTATTTTTGTCTTATTTTACTTTTTCTTTGCGTTGTTAAATTTATTTTTAGCTCTATGCAATCATTGATCATTTTTTGTTAAAAAAATGTTTATGTTAAATTACGTAAGGGTAACGGTTTAAGGAAAGCATTTAAAAAATTGTACATTGCATCACATAGTATGCATTTCAAATATATATGTGTGCAAAAAAATATGCGATGATTATAATTTATTAAGTATTAAGATGAATGAGTAAATGAAAATGATTTAAATAGATGTTAAATCTATTATTTTCAAAGTTAAATTCTAGAAATTTTAATGATTGTTAGAATCATTGTCGAGAACTTAATAAGTAGAATTGATTAATTCCCTAAAGTTATATATGGTTTTTTCAATATCATTTTCCTTCTCAATTAATTATTCGCTCTATTCACCATCATCTTTCAATATTATCCTAAATCCTTTCCTGTTGCACACTGAGCCTTTCATAGTGTTAACTGCTGCTTACTTCATTTCTTACAACAGCTAAACCACCAATTGTTAAGATAAAATGTTTTGTAATCTGCTCGTTTTCATTTCGTTTTTTTTTCTTTTCTTTTTTTCAATTCTTTTATTTGATTTAACAATGAATTTGCTAATTTTATCTGAAATTATATCATATTTATCGATACTATGCTCATATTTCATCTCATTTTGTATTCCGAAATTATGTAATATGACTTTTCATTTTTATTATTTATCATTTTTCCTTGTCATTGTTCTTATCAATCTTTGATGCAATGATTTCAATAAGTTAGAACTGTGACTTAATTATATCTATGATCATCTTGCGTGGTTTTGTGTAAATCATTAATGGCAGTAAATAATTTTATCCTTTTTATGACATAACACAACATTAATTAAATATTGATTTCAATATGAAATAGTATATAATTGGACATATGAATATTCATTATTAGGTACATTAATTACATATGCGCGGTATTTATATTTCACGTTTATCTGCGACGTTGCATTACCAATACAATAATTTGTAATTGTTTCAACTATCAGGGGAGTTATTCGAGACAACAAGGCTTCGTTGAAACGAATGGAGCAGCAAAGAAGTTTTGAGGATGCTGCTTTTGAGTTGTTCAAAAAGTTGGTTTTTGTTTGCAAAATGAAAGTGTTTTTTGCTCGATTTATAAAGTATTGCTGTTTATTTACTATTTGTTTGATAAATAATAAATATTTGATGAAAACAGTTGTAGTAATGTTTGGCAAATAATAATAATAATAATAATAATAATAATAATAATAATAATAATAATAATGCTTTAGCTCACTATTCGTTTGCTTATATTCGTTATTTGCTTATGTCGAATGTTACATGTGAATGCAGTTTTTAGCCTTTGTCCTCAGAGAAATTTCAAACGGGATGAGATACCGTATCAGACAGTTAAAGAAATCGTCGAAAAGCATCTCAGTAATATGGATCCAGAGAAAAGACAAATTTTGGAGGCTCGTTTGAGAGGTGAAACTGAACAGGGGCCAAGTGGTAATTTTCCAATAATTTTCTCAGTTGTCAATTATTTTAGATCTTAGATCTCATCGAAGCAATCTAATTTCTGTAGTATATGGAAGGACAGACGATCATTTTGTTTCATTGCATTTAATTTATCTATGATTAAGCAATAGGTATTTGGTGTGCTTGATTTACTTAGAATTGCTGAAAATTTTGCAAAAATATTATAAAAGCGACACTGTGGAATCGTTGCAGTTTCTAGGAACCTTTTGAATTTATCTTCCTAATGAATTTTAACATATTCGAAAGGAAAAAATTGCTGTTTCCAGAAACTAATTCAAAAATCGATAGCCGAGGATCGTCTCCAAGCAAACCAAAATCAGTATCAGAATATCGAAATCTTCTTGTTGCGGATAGGCATCATTTGCTTCCTAAATTGGAAGACTTCAGTGAAGCTCAGAAAATTCATCTGAAATATCCAAAGAATATACGGAAATTTGTGCGAGCACGCACAGAACGTAGATTAGCTTCAGAATCGAATGATTATGTCAATATAGGTTATTTTTAGTCCTTCAGTATTTTTAATGCTTGAAATTTTTGGTATTTAAAAGCTCAAAATCTTTTTTCCAAAACCATTAGATTTAACTGTAGCAAAGAATTTGCAAATCTCGAGCATTCTAGGCAATTTATTTACATGGCATTAATTTCTGATGGAATATTAGGTACAGTTTTAGGTATTCAGTGTTTCAGTTCTTTGTAGTATATATTAGACAAATAGCTTGAGCAACGAAACTGTTGCTTTAAAGTTAGAATTTTGAGACTGCATATTTTATTTAGTTTGTGATGAAAAGAAACTGCCGGAAGTCTTTCTACCTATCTACGACCAGATTTTGCGAAAGCGAAAGAAGTCGTTACAATGTTATAATATGATTATTAATACTTTGCATCATTATTTTATGCGTATAACTTGGTCGGATCTTGTTTCGGTTAGTAATCCGGAATGATTTTATTTTTTCGCATATGGGAAAAGTTTTTCTTTGTTCCATATATATATGTGACATTGTTTCGAGTTTTTATATCTTTATTAAAGAGTAAAATGAAAGTTCATTTTTAATAGTACGAACTCTAAGTTTTATAGGATTTGGTAAACGAGTTTATTGAAAAACATATCATACTTACATGTGATGATTTAACAACGAAATATGATCGTGAAGAAAGAGCGGTAGATATCTACGAGCGTCTTCGTGAGTATGAGTTAATGGTACTTCTCGAACTTCATTTGATCAAAAAACATCCAGAAAAGATCGAGGAAACTGAAGTTTGTCTTTAATATTGCAAAAATAGATTGCAAGAAACGTCATTCAATAATACTGTTTGAGAAATAGTATTGATTTGAAGATTGGCAAGTTCAGCGTCCATCCTTGATTTCAGGTTGTAAACAAGTTGGGTTTTCTGGTATTTGTTGCTGACTCAGTCCATATGAAAAATTTTCTTGATGAAATTGTTTGTGATCAGTAGGTTTTTCTTTCATTTTTATTGGAAAAAGAAAGTATGAGGAGGGACTAAGCAACATTAAATATATCATTTTAGCTTAGGTTTTGTTGGTTCACTTGCTAATGGCTTGACTTTCCCATTGAAATACACTCTTTCGGCTGGATTATAGCCAATACATTGGTTATGCATGTATCATGTCACCTTGAAATGCAGTATGTCTTGCATTTATATGCTTTATCAATTAAGTATCAATTAAATTAATAATTCAATTGTAGGAATGAACATTATTACTTTTTTATATTATCTTGGCAATATAACGGTATAAAAACAGTTGTTTTTCAGATTTGCTCATATAATGCCCAAAGCATTGGTTTATATTTATGAAGAATTATGTATAAAGATGCCACTTGATCTGGAAGATCGATCAGTTGATACTAGTGCAAATAGTAGGTTACTTGAAACTCGTGAAGTGGGAAGGAGAAGTAATCGAAAAATGGGTCCTGGCAGTGCAGCAATGCTTGCGTTAGAGAGAAAAGCTGCTGCGAAGAAAACCGAAAAAGAAGGGAAGCATAAAAAACGTAAAAGTGATGAATCATCACCTGATTCGGGATCTGGAAAACCGAAAATGGGACTTCGTGCACGTGCAAAACAAGCAGAACGCATTTCAAAACGAATTGCTGCTCGCGAAAAAAGCAAAAGAGCTGGTTCGCGTTCATATCGTTAATTTTTTTTTTTTTTTTTTTTTGATATTTGGCACAAAAAAAAATTATAATTCAGGTCAAAATATAGCTCAGGTAAGTGGAAGGAATATCTTGCTTTCATTTTTCTATGCTGACTTTCATTCGCTGCTTTTTTGCTCCACTTTTTGTGCATTTTTTTTATTGGATTTAGTATTACCTTTACTCTCTTACTTTTCCATAGCTGTCAGATTGGAAGATGTCCTGTTTTATAACATTTGGATTCGAAAAAAATACGGTATTATTAATTTATTGAAGTGTACATCACAGGTTAAACATATTCTCTGTTGTGTTTTTTTAAAAATATTACATGTCAGTGAAATAGTTAACTTTACCTCGTTAATGTTTATTCAAATATGTGAAGTGGTTAAAAATATAACAGAATTTTATAACTTATCAACGGTTTTATTCATTTTTAACTTGTTTCATCTTTCTTAACATCGAAGTGACCTTACTTTCAATTATTATTATCATTATTATTATTGTTGTTGCTTTATTTAACGTAGCCTTGTTAACATTTCTTCATCATTGCTTTGTATATTAATAGTTATCGGCTTCGGTCCTTTCTGTTAAAACAGTTATGCCATGTAAGAAGACCTTCAAATCTTAGTAAAGCCTTATGTTCATCTCGTTTGGCAGAGAAAAAAATTATCCTTTCACTAGCAGATCCCCACAAAATGCAGTGGAAAAACTTTTACGCTTACTAAAAATGGAAGAGTAAAAGTTTTCTTGTTTGATTTTCACGTATTTCCGTTTTTTATTCATTTGAAAAGGCATTTGAGAAATTGCCGTATGGAGATAATTTGGGGAGCCCATATAGTTCCAGGTGGACAAAAGATTGGATTTTGTGCTTCGGAAATCGATTTTTCTTGGTATTTGAATCGCTTTAGAGTGTTGTTTCTAATAGTAGCGTTGCTACATTTATTCGGATACATTTAGATCATTTGTAAAGTTATTGAGGGTATTGAATTTAAGATGTTGTAAAGTAATTTACCTATTATTCTTATGAAGGGAATCATGAAAAACATGGGAATATATAGTTGGGTAACTGTTGTAAGCTTCCAAGTTCACCCAGTTATAGAATATAGCTTTCTTAATCTGTTCATCATGATAGTAGATGCAAACATATTCAAGCTAATTAACTCAAGACATTAATCAGACAAGGAATAGGCAAAATTTCAATATTTACATTGATACTAGTAACTTGATTTTCATACTTTGGATATATATGTATTTAGTATTCTGGATATATATGTATTATGATATGTACCAGTTTTTAAAGTGATATACATACTGATAACATTCAAGTTTAACATATTTAAGCTTAGAGGACAAATATTGAGAGAAGATTTTAGGGAATTTTATGAATTTTAGCTTTTAAATTAAGAATTCTCAGTTTGCATAATACTACCATCTTTTTTTTGCACCACAATAGTATATAATCCTTGCCCATAGTGCTCATTGACCTTTAACATCATGAACCCTTCAGTGTTGATAATCTCTTACAGCTCTCTAGCTAAGATTTAGATTTCTGAAAGGAAACATACCTAATTTTACGTTGATTATTCTTTGTCCAGGAAAGTATTCTCGTCATATATATTTCGTTGAATAATCATAGAACCGTATTTTAAGTTTTTCATCCATTGATGATTAATCTTTTAAGTATCGAAGTGAAAACACTAATAACTTTCAACAATTGGTATATTATTTATAGTTGTTAACTTTTGGAGAATAATTGGAATGAATGAAAGGATTATTGAATGTAATTTGAATTGTTAACTGTCAATCATAATACATTTGTATTTGAACATGTATGTATTCTATTCATTCTACTTTACTACACATTCAATATCATATTATTCATTTCTTTGTTAAATGTAACATTATGATAGTCAAATTAACTGATCTTCACTTTTTTTTTCTTATTTTAACAAAAATTACAGATGTAATAATTATTACAATATGATATCATCACCATCAATATAATTTTCAAAAAAATAATTACAACAATGAAACATAGATTTTTCATCACACTGATCAATACGTATTTTTAAAGACTTGATAGTTATTATATATTAAAAGAAAAAAAAAAAATCATGTCTCTAATGATTTCATTAAAGCTAATGAGAAAGAATGAATGAATTAACAAAATGAATTATAGCTGAAAATTATAGCAAATGTATGCGAAAATGCTTGATTATCTTCCTTATATATATGTTCTAGATAATATATTGATTTTTGATGTCATCTCACATTACCTGTATTATTGAATGAATTAATAACATATTATGCTAGAGTTGCTATTAATGAAATGAATGTCATAAAAATGCTTTATAGCAAATTTATGCATAATTTCAACTAATCTTTTCATGTTTTTTTCATTATAATTCATACTAGAGCTAGTAATGAAATGAATATCATAAAAATTAGTTCAGCTTACCAAATATCAATATTATAGTTAATATTTTTTGTCATTACAACATCTTTTATCCTAAATATTTTTGATTATCAAAATGATGGCGTCATCACTGTAATTAATATATATTGTAATTATGTGTGATGTTTTAGTTGTATATTTCTTATCTGAAATAGTTTGTTCATTAGAGAAGAAATGAATGATTAATTTTCAATTCTCTTTATTGAATAAATTTTTTTATTCATTAGAATCTATTAGTTTGGATAATTTTCACTTTACTTTTTTCATTCATACCAATTAATAAAATACTGAATAAAATTAGGCTCTGTAATACTGTAACGAAATTTTGAAATGAAATTGAAAAGGTGAAAAAAATCTTAGATGGAAATTTTGGCTTCCTTTCTGCAAAGACTTATATATGAGTCATCAAAAAGTAATAGTTAACTTTAAGGATAATTTATATCTTCAGAATTAGTGATCTAAATGCTTATATATTGTTAAGGATTGAGTGCAAATTATTCTTAGCTAATTCATTCTATCATCTTTGATTATTTTAAAGCATTTATTGCTTATCTGATTGATATTCATTGTTCCAGTTGAATTTTTGCAACAGTTAACATGTGCAAAGTGTCAAAATTATCAATATTGGGGCTAAATTCAATATTTGTGCGTATTACTTATGGAAATAACTTTATATCATTTATATTAAAGTTATTCATTTTTATGTTTGATATTAATTTAGGATTGTTAGGTAGAGGTATTAGGGCTGCCTTTAGTAAATTCTTTTTTGTTGATATTTATGCATGTGTTAATTTTTATGGTTATTAATTATGTATTTCAATTGATATCTTGAAAATACCGGTTTAAACATATATTATTTTTTTCAAAGCAATATTTTAAACTCTTGTTCCATTTCTAAATTCTTTTTATGATAGGTAAACTGCATTTCGTTAAGTTTAAGTTGAATCATTGATTTAATATTTTACGTAAATTGTTAGCTTACATTTATATCTTAATAGATTGGATTTTGTCAATTTAATGTTTTTTTAATTTCTTCCTGTCCTACTGTTACTCGAAGTTTCATTTCTACTGTTACTTTTTCTTTTTAATTTAAGTTTCATACATGTTTCAATATATTTTAAGACGAAAATAAAGCGATAGAAGAAGAGAAAGCAGGCGAAAGTGGCGGTTCATCTTCCACAATTAGCGAAGGTGATGATCTTGGAGAAATAGTTGTACCATCAACACCGAAATCAAAAATGAAGAAGAAACTGGATGAAAAAATTTCTAAAGATGATGAAAACGTTATGCAAACGCCACTTAGTAAACTCAATCGAAGTAAATCTTTTTTTTCCTTTTACAACGATCTCTTTTTCTCGTGTTCAGATATCTCCAGATCATTTGTATATGTGTCTATCTTTTTCAAATTAGGTATACTTGGTTCTTTTTTTAACTTTTTGCTTATATAATTCTCGTTAAGGAGATGATTCTCTATCGGCTATTTATCTTAATTCACGTAGTGAAATTTTTTATTTTTGTTCAGATTTATAGATCAAACTCTGTAACGCATCACTTCGATATTTAAATAGTAAATTTCAGTTCCGACACGTAAGAATGAAAAACTAGCAGCACTGTTAGAAAAAAGTATGAAGACGCAATCACAGCAGCTGCAGTTGAGAAAAAGGAAAAGTCTTCCAGTGATACGTGGAAGAATGCAGTCCAGAAAATCACGAAATTCACTGCCATCGTCGTCATCTGCTCCTAGTCTTGCCAATATTCCACGAACACGTTCTGCACGTGTAAATTTAAATGAACGTTTTGCTATGATGGATCGATTAAACGAGGGAACTAATGCACGTGCTGCTGCTACTACATCACCTGCAGTACGTATCAATTTATAAATGAAGCATAGTGAAATTCTAGTTTTAAATATCCTTGGGATGTTCGTATATTAAAGATTATTATCATTATGTAACCGTCATCATTATGTAATCAAACTCACACTGAACTTAAAAAGAAAGTGGATAGAGGGAACTTAAGCAAAATATCATCTCAAAATCTTTGCTTATCCATGAAGAAAGTGTAAGTCTAGTGGGTTTAGTTAATAAGGCGGAAAAGAAAAAAATTCTATTGGAAAAATTTTTAATGAAGTCATTTTTTAATTTTTGTTCCATGCAATCACATCTGGTAATGTTTTTATGACATAACATTCCGCCATTCTTTGCCGTATGCAGCTGTAATTGATGATTTTTCAACATTCACTTTTTTAAATAATACTTTTCGTACAAATGACTTTTTGTTTGTATGTGAAAAGATCAGTTGGTGGAATAGAAGTGAAAGAGAAACATGGGTAGTGTTGCAAACAGATATCTATTAATTTTATCTAAGTTAAAGGACTTAATTGAAAATAACCAAATTTTGATCGTTATTGGAAACTTTTTAAGTTTGTTTCGTTTTATTTTCAGTGGATTAATTTTTAGCCTCAAACATCGATTAAAGATATATCACTAGACAAAAGTATTATTGAGCGATATCGTAGACGCATCGAAACTATTCGTCATTCAACACGTCAAAGTGATAAAAATGAGGTAAGTGAAAGAACACATTTTCAGTCAAATGTTTATTTCATAATCAAATTTATGATTTTTTTATTGAAAGGTGAAGGATTAAACGGTATTTTTTAAGTTTATCTTCATTTTTGAGTTTTATATGTTAAATTATTTCAGAGTTCCGTTATAAAATTCCTATTAAAAGAAATGATTATTTTTTTTTGCGAAATATAAAAAAAATTCTCTCATGGGGCTCAAAAACTTGCGGAAAAGCCTTACTACTGATATGTAAATTATTGTTATAATCCATACATTTTTTTTTTTGGAAAATTCTAAGTATAAATTTTTAAAAAATAGAGTTTAAAATCAAAGTGTAATTTTATAAATTCTACAAGACAGTTTTCCATTTAATAGAAGAAGCAGTGAAAAAAGAAGGAGAAGATATCTTAAATGAAATTATTTGTAGGTATTTTATGGTCGTTGCACATCACGTCGTAACTTATTCGATGATATTATTGACGAGGAAGACAGTGAAGGAATTGCAACACGTTCCACAGCTTGTATTCAGAAGAATCGAAGTGGACGATCGGTACAAACTAGTCAAAAAGTGTACATGGCACATGCATTGCTCAACGTTTATAATACAGACCCACTTAATCCACCAAAGCTACCAAAAGATGCTCCGTTCAAATTACATCGTCTCATTCGTCCGGCATCGAAATCAGATAAAAAAAGACTATTCAAGCTTAGGTAAGTCTATATTTAATAAAAAAAGATTTAATAAATTGAAAATTCATTTGGCAGGAAGTTTTTGGTAATTTTTGAAATGATTCATCTGTTTACCGATAAATGAAGTGAAGTAAGTGATAAAAGATTTCATCAAGTGTTTCTGTCATCATTCATTTCGATTGAATAGGCTTCAACTACATGATGAAAAGATCTCATCTCAAATTTTTTTTTAAACATTAATCTAAGTTTGAAAAAAAAAACTAAAATAATATTTAAGGCTACTTTCTCATTGGTTGTTTCCTATGAAAATTCTTAATTTATTGTTCTCATAGCTATTATAATCATTTTGCAGACTTCGAATAGCTCGTGAAAAGTCGGGATCAGCTTCATTGGTCAAAAATAATGCATGTGAAATTCCTGAAATAGCACATTCTTCAAAGGATATAGAAGCAAAATCCGAAATAGTAGAAGGAAATTCTTGTAATGAAAGTGAGAAGTTTGAAGCCGCTGACAGGAAAGAAATATTAGGAAGTGATAACACCGAAAAAACAGTGGATCTTTTCAGGGATCCAGGTGTGAAAAAATTAGCTAGAAAGTTAAGTGGAACATCAAAAAATGTAGAAACGGATTTGGCATCTTCCAATCGATCATCGAAAGAAAGTTCCAATAAAAAAAGAAGAAACTCATCATATTCTTCACATTCATCCAATGGTGTATCATCCAATAATTCAAAAATTTCCAATACTAATGGATCAGTTATAGATGAAAAAATTTCCACTAAAGCAATTGATGATATCTCTGAAATGGTAGCGAAGCCATGTATTGATTCCGCGAAATCTAAATCAGCAGATAATATAAAGGATCAGATGAGGAATGTAAATCACGAATGTATGATTGATAAAATAGAAAACGAAGGTGAAAAAGATGATAATTCGAGTGAAATTCCATCTAACATCAAAGAAAAAGATGATAAAATGGATGTATTGTAAAGTGTATTTTTCATTTATTGAAAGTTTATTCGGTTTGTCTGTTAAACGATATTTGATAGAGCTTTTTATGCTTAAGAGCATATATTACTCTCATATTGCATAGCTTTTTTTTTTTTAAAAAAAAGTTTGCCAAATTTTTCTTTGATGCCAAAATACTGACTTGGTATCTTTTTTACCTTATATCTCATTCTTTTAGTACAAGTTGGTAATAAAGTTCAAGTCGTATATTTTCCATTTCCAAAGAAGTAGACGATTATTTTATTAAAAAATTTCTAAGCATTCAATTTTTTTTTTTTTTTTAACGCTACAACTATTGCATCAAGCTTTTGCTTTATCTTTTCATTGGTTTGTTGTTCTGATAGACAATTAGGTTGTTTTATAAAATTTGATGTTTTTAAATATATCGTAATGTTTAAATCGGAATGCTCTCAACGTTGTTACTATGAAATAAGGAGAAGTATGTATTAGGCTGTTTTGTTTTCTTTTTTTGAATGGAATTCATTTTTTTTTTTTTTTTATCAATCTATATTGTTGACTGGTTGACTGAACTGAGGGCATTGTATGATGTTTTGTCTTTTTTAGGTATAAATTATTTAAGACATTCAAAGGAAGGATTTAGAAACGAGGTATCATTTGTTTATAGGCAAAATTGTTTGATATCGAAGCACTTTCTCTTAGAGAAGTTTAGGATCGAATAAGACAGAATGATGAATTTATCAAACTGGAAATGAAATTTTTGATGGTTCAATGATTTTTATTTTTATGGCTTAAATAAACAAAATAGAGGTGATTATGGATGAATGTGTTTTTTAAATATTGCTACTGTTACTAGATACACGAATCAATCCGACTTATAAAGTTAGCACTGATTGATTTTAATGATAAAGATTCGAGATAATCTGACACTATCGTTGTTCATTGTATGTTTTATTTCTCAAATAACGTAATTGTGATATGATGCAGAGTTAATTTATCGTTTTCTTTTTAATCACACTGCATCATTTTGAAATTCAAAAAAAAGAAGAATTACATCTTGCGTGCTTTCCGAATGAAATACTTTCTCTGCTGCATACATTTGTTTTTTTTTTTTGTTTTTTCGTCGTGTCAGTGTATGCTTATTTATCTTGAAATGCTTCACGTTTTTACGGATTAATGGATGAATAATTGTAAGTTGCATGTTTTTTTTCTTTTTTGGTTGTTTATCAAGAAAAGAAAAATTATCTTCACGTTTCGATCTTTTACATTACACATTTGTATTTTGAAAACGGCTGAAATGCTGTTATACATATTAAATGGATAATGATTCGATGTAAGGATATAGAAATTGTTAAGATTATGTGATCATATTTATCGTTCATATGAATCATAGGAATTTAAATTGACTAAAGTTCTAACATTAGAAAAAATTTATTTTCAATATAGTAGATAGAATTTTGAAAAAGATTAATTTATATTATTCATATATACATAAGTCTAGTTGAATCGGATCTCATATTAATTTATATTGAATTGGTTTTTTTCCCGAGCATAGGTTGTAAAAAGTTTTTTTTTTTGGATTTATAAATATAACTTTTGATTTCTTCATGCTTATCACCTTCTAAGTAGCGTGAATTTTCGATTAATCCTGTGATTATAAATAATTGATTTCATGCTTCTAGTTTTGCATCTAGCACGAATGGTTGCGCGTATTGATGAAAAGAAATCTTGCAAAGCGTTCCAATGAACAACGACTTTTAAGACCACGTCTAGAGGTTAAAGAAGAGGTGACTATTTGAAAGAAAAAGAAAAAAGTACAAGATGAATGATTTCGAAAAAAACTCTTTTTAGAAAAAAAAAAAAAAAAAGAATAATTTAGAAAAAACTCGAAGAAGTTCTTAACTATAAAACAAAATTCAGAAATTATTAATAGCATTATGAGTAGCAGAGGTGAATTCGTCATTGTGAACCTATTTTCTACAGTCAAAAAATATTGAATGAAATTATTTTATGTTTCTTTTCAACTAATGAATTTTTGAATTCGAATTAAATTCACAGTTTCAGGAAGGATTTGATAGAAGTGATGTAAAAAAAGCATTGTTAGAATCATTGTATGAACAGCGTAAGGAAGAACGTCGAAAGGAATTGGCAAAAGAATTGAAACGACGTGAAAATTACAGTAGAAATAGACTTACTGAAAAGGATCAGAAAAGGAGCAAGAGTAATGAGCATAGAAATAATAGTGAAGACAAAAAACAAAATGAAAATTCGAAATTAAAAAGAAAAAAGGAGAAAAGAGGAGTTGAACAACATACTTCAAAAGATAAGAATTTATTGAAAGGAAAAGAAAAAGTCAAAATTCAGGAGAATTTGGTGATAAAAAATAAGGATGCTGTAGTGGTATTGAAGAGTAAAGAGAAAATAAAAGTTTCGGAAGAGAGAATTGCTGATCAAGAAGAAAAACTAAACGAAGTTATTCCGGAAGAAGCAAAAACTGTTGTCGAGAAAGTGGTACATAAGAAAGTATTCGACATTGAAGCGTTACCGTCAACTACAGATTTTGTCCGATTTATGTCATTAGATTACTCAGATGGTTAGCATTTAAAATTGCTATATTTGAATGTCCAATTAAGTAATATTTGATTGAAATAAAAAGTCAAATATATTGTTAAAGATAGTGCTTTGATTCAACTGATTAAATTACTTAAGCAAACTACAATCTGAGATTTTTTCAGCAAAAGAGATTATAAATTCATAAGCTGCTTATTATTTCAAGTAGTTTCGAACTTCTTTTTTACTAAAATATTTTCAATTTAAGTTTCTTTTTTTTTTGCTAAAATTATTATGCATTTGCAGATCTTGAAGGTATACCAAAAGAATTGCAACATTTTCGTACACTTCCATTAGTACCGGTCCCAGAATTACCATGGTCAATCTCGAGCAAATGAATGGCAAAATTGTAAGTGGAATTTGTAAAAATTATAATTTGAAAAAAACAAATAAAAATAAATCTGACCACAAAGCACCATTGTTTCATATGATTGATGATATAAATTGAACGGTGCTGAAAAAGAAAAAAGATTTCATATCATTTGAGAATTTTCAAGGGAACAGTATGAATTGTTTTTTATGTGAAATGAAAATTTCTATCTTATTTGTATTCTTTATAGTTTATTTAATATTATCGTTACAAATTATATCTTTATTTAAATTTGACAAATTTATAGAGAATTTCAGGCCCATTTAATCAATATTGCTTTCATTGGTATTTCATTCTTTATATCACTTCTGCTATTTCAACATGGTTTTTTACTTAAACGAGTTGAACTTATGTCACGCAGTTCGTGTTCAGATGTTGCTTCACATAATGCATGTTGGTTTCCAGCTCAATATCAACGGGTTGTTATTATTTTAATTGATGCTCTACGATATGATTTTGTTGTACAATCACAGTATAATAATAGCAGAAAAGAATATTCTGGTCACTTTTCTACTGTTACTCGTTTACTTGATGAACAGAAAGGTAAGTAAATATTTTTTACAGTTTTTTAAATATGTCGGAAATTTTTAAACATTAAAAAAAATTTCTTTTTTAGGAAAAGACAATCTTAAGTAATGATTTAATAATGTTAAATGATTGCTGGATTTAGTAATGATGATTTATTTAGAAGGAATGATATATCATTTGAAATGTACTAAACTTTAATTTTAGCAAAAGGAAAAAAATAAGAGCTATATATATTAATAATTTAGGATTATGAAAATTAAAAAGTTTTTACTATCCTATCATCTAAGCTACTGAGTCTGAAAATCATTATAATAAGATTGATATCAGTATAAATAAATGGATGTGGTTTATTTTTGATAAATTTCTAGATTGCTTACAATCATATTTTAGAATCAGCAGTTTTGATGCATTTTCATGCAGATGCTCCAACTACTACGATGCAACGTTTAAAAGCAATAACTACTGGTTCACTTCCCACTTTTATTGATGTTGGTTCAAATTTTGCAAGCACTGCAATATTGGAAGATAACTGGATTGATGAAATTGTCGCAACAAATCGAAGTATTGTTATGCTTGGAGATGATACATGGTAATTTGTTTAGTATGAAAATAAGCCATCATTTCTTGATCACAAAATTTGCTGTAATATATTGTCATATTTTGATTATGAATAGAACTAGATTTGAAAATTGTCAATTTAGGAATTTCTTTTTTTTTTTTTGTTTTGTTTGCAAAAATTTATCGAAGCTCACTGTTGGTTGCATAACGATGCGATAGTACTATTTCATCCGTATTTTGGCTTTATACTTCATATTGCTTGCTTTTTTTTTCAGGATTTCATTATATCCAAAACAGTTCAAACGTAAATATCATTTACCATCCTTTGACATAAATGATCTTCACACTGTTGATCAGATGATTTCAGGTATGTTTCATTAGATGTGCAAATTTTTTCATGCATTAATTTTCTCTATTCTTTCTCTTTATATTGTTAGATGAATCTGTATTCCAGACAATCTTTTCGACGAACTTGTAAAATCGGATTGGACTGTTCTAATAGCACATTTTCTTGGCGTTGATCACTGTGGGCATAAATATGGTCCGGATCATCCTGAAATGTCCAAAAAATTAAAGCAAATGAATGAAATCTTGGCAAAAGTGGTCAATTCTTTGGATAACAATACTTTATTATTGGTAATGGGTGATCATGGAATGACGGAAAATGGTGATCATGGTGGTGATGAACCACTGGAAACCGATGCTGCCTTATTTATGTTTGCTAAAAGAAAGCTGATTTTTGCGGAACCACCAGATTCAGTTTCGCAGGTAATTGAGTTATTTTTGCTTTGCAAAAAAAAAAAAGTAAATGGAAATATTTGAAATTCTTAAAGCTACTATTATTACTATTATTTTGCTTTCACTTCAGGTTAACTGCAATAGCGAATTTAATTAAATTGTGGAATATTTTTTTTCAGGTTGACATTGTGCCAACAATCAGTTTATTACTTGATTCACCCATTCCATATTCTAATATTGGAACACTAATTGATTGTGTCATAGTACCAGAACATCGTGATCTAGCAATAAGCAGTAATGCAGAGCAAATGATGCGTTATGGACGGACTATTGTGGCGGAAACTCAATTACCGGAATTAGATTCATTGATACGAAGTTTTGAAAATAATGGCAATGTAGCAAACTCTATTGATTACATGCGACGTTTACAAGAACTTTTACGTGCTTCATGGACTGAATTTAATAGTAGTTTCATGCGAATTGGTTTTTTATCATTGCTTGATGCAATATTATCAGTTTATGGTTCGCTTTATACGGGAAAGTAAGTTCCTTTATAAAAATTTTATAAATTTTTAAGAACCATTTCATCAGAGCTGTACTCATTAATTGATGTTATCAATTTCTTTCATAAAATTCAACTGACTGTTTAGTTAACAAAATGCAATGCTTTTGCTACTAAACGATGGAGTAATTTTATTCTTTAAGTCATATAAATGCATTTCAATTTGCATTTTCTTTTTCAGTATTTCATTTACCTCTTTGGTTTTTCGTTCCGGTCTATTTTTCATCCAAATGTCGGTTTTTTTAATTGGAGATGATGAATATTATGTTGCAATTTTGGATTTTCTATTATCCTTCTCATTAATCATTCGACTTATTCGAGCAGCTAGGACATTATTTTTGTTCGCACCAACAATTTGGGAATTTGCTGTATTTTGTATAACTATTGCACATGCATCATCTTTCCTTTCCAATAGTTACATTATTTTTGAATCATCCGTAATTCGTTTCCTGACGCAAACCGTAGTTGCTATTGCATTTTGGCAGTCATTTTCAAACTGGTATATGATTTTTGAATGTTTTATTTGATTTTAAATAATAATTGAGTTTGATAAAGGAGAGAAAAATGTACAAAGTTTTGTGAGCATTTTGAAATTTGGGTATTTTTTGGACGGTTTTTTTTTCTTTTTTCTTGATCACATATTATTTACAGGAATCATAGTAATCGTCGTCAATCGAAATCGTTTTTAGCTTTGTTAGAAAAGCGTTTTAATTGGCAACGTTTCCTTATCTTCATTATGATCATTTTACTTTTGCGATTGGGTATTTTCTTTGAAAAATGTCGCGAAGAACAAGGAGATGCATGTGAAGCTACAATATTTTCACAGTCATTTTCACATATCCCTCATAGTAAGTACTTTTTATTTCTTTTATAATGCTAAATAATTTGTGTAGAAAAGAAAAAAATGGCGCAAATCATTATTCTCAAGCAAATTTTCATGAATTTTTTATCTAAATAGAATAAGCACGTTATTAGATGTGTTAAAAATAATTGTATTAATCATAATTAAATTATTAAATTTCTAACTCAGTCAAATTTTTAGGTCCTCTAAAAGTAATGCGTTTTATGCTCGGTATAGCAGTACAAATTGCTGCTGCATATATGGCAACGAAATTTCTGCAAAATTATCGATCTGAAATTTGTACTTCAACATTAATTTTTCCAACAACAGTTGCTAGTATTGCTTCATGGTTTTCTCTTTGGTTACCCGAAGATACTATTAATTATTTTGCTCGATTTTCACTTGGTACTGCTCAGGTTTGTTCATAATTGAATGTAACATCATTATTGATCGGATTATTGCAAATTTTATCCTAATGCAATAATTTTAGTTTGTAGCCCAACACTTCTATCAAATTCTATGCTTAAATGATGTAATGTTTTTAGTACTATAAACTTTTTATATTTCTTATAAAATAAATTCTTCATCTTGCATGTAGAAACTTTATTTTTTATTTTTTACTACGATATTGGAATTAGCATATATATAAATCATTTATTTCTAGATTGTTTATGGTTTATCGTTTATTAATTTATTAATTATTTCTTTTCGTGCAACTCGTATTGGAAAATTTTGGAATCAAAATAGTTGCGCAATATCATACTTAGTGTGCATATCATTTGTTTTATTTCTAATCCTGGGCGATGGTCTAGCATTCAGTTTTCTTTCGTTAATTACAATAATCTTTCTCATTCCATTTATTATCGATGATGGTATGTTATTTATTTCTCTTTTTAATCGAAACTCCTCTAGTATCTAAATTGTTTCCTTTCCTCTTCAGATTATTTTTTGTGCTCTATATTTAAGAAATTCTTGTATTACATTTTTTTCTTTTTTTTTTTGCTATATTCATGGAAAATTTTAAATTTATTTAAGGTTTTTATTTATTATTTAATTTATTTTTTAGAATATTACCAAATAATATTAATTGTTTTTCTGTCATCACATGGGTTTTTTTCTTTATCACATCAGCCAACATTTTCATCAATTCCTTGGCAAGCAGCCTTTATTGGTGTTCCCGGTAATTTTGCCATCCAAATAGTACCAGGTGCACTTGTCATTGCTCATATTTTTGCATCACAAATCATTACATGTGTTGCATTACCGATGCTTGTGATGCAGCAAAATTATCGACAATCTGGCCTCTCACATTGGACTTATAAATTGATCTTATTTCATTCATTAAAGGTTAATTTAAGCTAATAATTTTGATTAGAATTTTAGAAAGTAATTATGATGCAAAGATTTACAATGAAATTTTAGACTTTAATTTATTTTCTTATGATATGATTTCACTTATATATGATATTCATTACGCAATACATTATTGAAAAAAATTCTATTTAGTTTTAAAGTACCAGAAGCTTGATTTCATAATTCAACCTACAATAACGCATAATGACAGATGAAATCTTCGAAATAAGCAAAACTCTATAATGGTTATTTAGAAAGTTGGAAGTTGTAAAAAATCATGTTACTACCATTTTTGTTTTCTAAAATTAGATAACATGTACTGAAATTTACTGGACGAAATCATTATTAAGTTATTTAATGCAAGTCTGTCATGCAGTGTTAAGCTAAAATCCATTATTCGAGAAAAAAAGAAAGGAAAAAAAGGAAAAAAACAAAGTGTAGTTAAAATTTCAGGCACTCTCAGTATGCATAATGGCAGCTATACATCGACGACATTTAATGGTTTGGAAAATCTTTGCTCCGAAATTCATTTTTGAATCACTTTCTCTTTGTGTTGTTTGTTTTACTCTGCTAATTACTAACTGTATCTTTTGGAAGTTGGTTGTACCTCCACCTCTTGACTTAACTGTTAAAAGGAGTTAATAATTTTTACTTTCCTTTTGCTGATTATCATTCATGCAGAGTTTCTCCCTCACATTTTTAAAATTGAATATGTTTTAGCCTTCCATCTGAACTATTTTTTTTAGCTTATTTTACAATTTTCTGCATGAACTATTTGTTTCTTTGTTTTTTTTCTTTCATATACTATTTTGTTTCCTTGTTTTATCCTAGGAGAACCCTCTATGGTTAAATCAACGGGTCCTTAGATTTCTATCTTCTTGATCTAATATAATTAATGTATAAAAGTTAAATGTGACTATGTTATGTTACAATAGTAATGTCGCATTTCCAACTCCATATTAGAACTTCAAAACTCTCTTTAAACTTTTAGGCTATCTTTTCTTGGCTGAATGTAAATACATAAAGACTTGTGACAAATTCATATCTGGTGGTGATTATTTAAAAGGTAGAGCACTTTGACCAAAATCATGTCTGATTCATTTTTTATTTACAGTCATCATATATCAATCAATAATCACATAATTCAAATTTTCCTGTCGTTCCATAAATAGATCATTTGAAGATGCATGAAAGAAATCAATGCTAAGACTTGGCGTATCTTGAATAACTTTGAAGTATTGCAATAGGCTTTCTTCGTTAAGACCATTTGATAGAATAATATCTGCTAGAGCAACCCGTTCAGGTATATCACTTTGTGCCCATCTTTCTAATGCAAATTCTTCCAGTGGTGGTAGTAAGTCTGTTCGTAAAATATCCAAATGTTTATCAATTTGTGCAGATATTTTTTCAGCTCGCCTATTAAATTCACCTTGTAACCACTTGATTCGATGTTCTTTCATTGTGACTGCAAGAAGACCTACACGACTTTTCTTAATTTCAGCATCAAGTTCCTGAAAACAAGATTGACTTAATGGCATAATTAACTATAGCAAAACTAAATGAAGTTCTTATACCTGATTGAAAATCTTGAAAGAAGAGGATGACACGGTCGTTCTGAAGTTCTGAACTTTCGCTAATTTTATAGATGAAATTTATGGATTGTTTTCAGTTATTACAATAAGTGTCGAAATTAAAATTCATGTTTTAGAGTACTTCATTAAAATCAGGAAAAGTTTACAATATTGAAATCTTGCAACATTTTCAACCACATTATCAAATAAAAGAATTCAAAATTAACCTCAAATTTTCCAGTATTAGGTAAAAAGTCTTTAATTGTAGAAATAAAACTCGCCCTTCTTCGTGAATTACCCTTTGTGGCAATGAGATCATTCATAAGAATCTATAATATTCAGAATAAAATCTCGACGAATTCTGATTTAAACGAAATCATTTCAATGCCTAAAAAAGAGAAAAAACATTTTTTGAAAAAACATCTGAATGACAATCGAAAACGAAATTATATATTTAGATGTTAAAATTGATATAGATGCAAACAACTATCATATTTATTCTTTTTTAAAATAATCTAAAATTTGTCATCTAAGTGTCAAATAAAACATGAAGAATGCATAATTGACTAACAATATAAGCAACTGCTCGTTCAATTCTACATGCATTACATTCTTGATTTATTGATGGAAGCTTAAATGTTGTCAATTGTTTTATTAATTCTCGAACAATTGAATAATTGGCATATTTTCGATGGCTAATAATATGTTTCATGATGAAAAATGCAAATTCAAGATGCATTTCATTGCTAAGTGATGAGATCAATAATCGAGCAACTTTAACATAATTGTATCTTAGTGCATAGCGTATGATTAATTCGTGAAAATCCATTGATCTAAATAAAATCGCTATACAAAATAAGAAATAACTTCATATGTTTGAATAATTTTTATTATTTATTACTGCTCTATATAACTACTACAGCAATTAGATATTTGAATAAAGATTATGTAGAGTTATAAAGAGATATATAGCGAAATAAAGAATCAAAATGATTACCAATTTCTATTTCATCTTTCAACTTCAACCTAGAGTTAAGTTTTAGGAGATTAGACTGTATGTCATTCAAAACAAGTACAAATGTTGGACTTACTTTTACTGCTTCCTGATAATTCCTTGATTAGTTAGAGTCTTGAACATTTGAAACAGCATGACGTACTCTGCATCCTACTTAAATTAAACATGATTTTAAAAAAAAACCTGAAAAGTAACAGCACACTGATTATGTGGGTTATCCGAGTAAAAATAAACATTCTGTTAATCCCCAAAATTTTCATATAAAAAGCAGGACCACAACTTAATCCTATAAAAGTTTCTTTAGCAATATTTCAAAGTAAAAAAAAAAAGGCCTATATTTAACATGAGATATGCGTTAAAAGTATGAAGTTTAAGTCTGAATTATAAATTCCAGAATTATTATTATGCCTAATTTTAGTCTAACAATGTCTCACAAAGGTGATAAGCTCAACCCTTTCTCACTTCAAGCAATTCGATGGATTCAAAAAAAAAGTTTAGAACTGCAATGCAAGATCACAACTCAAACAAACCAAAAATTAAAAAAAATTACTATGTTTATTTCATTAAAAGGAAAAAAACGGACATACACAAAACTCGATTACTGAGTGAATGGATAATAAATATTAACAGTGAAAACAAACATCTCATTTATCTGAATATCTGAATTTGAAAATTGAAATTAGTTAAGTACATAAATGCATGTGACAACGAAAAAACGATCTAATCTTTTGCATTATTGTATCTTACAGTCTCAAAAAAAAGCACTATAATCCTAGTAGGGAAAATATTTCAATATTCAGATATATCAAATCATGAAGTGTCAATGAAAGGTTTTGAAAAAAAAATTGAAATTTAAGATGACTTCCACTGCTCATCTGCTCGAGCTACAGTTGAAAGTGGAAAATAAATAACTGAAACAGTTTTTGAAAAATAATTTCCGATAGTTTTATTTGACATCTTTTTAACAAAAATGATTAATTAACAAGCAAAGTTAATATTTAAACAAAATATATGGGCATTTAATTTTAATTCATGAGAAATGATACGATTAAATGATCACACTGTATTACTTCTGCTAATTGCGTTTCTTTAAAAAAAGAGGAAATCCAACTATGACTTCCTGAATGAAGGACTTCCTCAATCTACTGATATTTTAAATACCAATGACGGTAAATGAATACTTCAAATTACTGAATATTCTAAAAGCATTTCCTTCCGAGTTCAGATTAAGGGAAAGAGGAAGACAAAGTAGTTGCATTCGGAATGTTGACATCTCCATAACAGAAACAAACTTTAGTTCATTAAAAAATGGACAATACAAACTTTTTCTCTACTTATACTCCTTCCTTCCCAAACTTTTTCCTTTCACTTTACAGTAAAATCCAACACATAGGGAAGAAGAAACCATGCACCATTAATTTTAAGCAGAAAAAACGAAAGCAACAGAAGATAATAATAAGTGTGGAGTTCAATGAAATTTTATGCGAATAAAAGGAGATAAAAAAGTAAATTTATAACCAGACAACAAAAAAAAGAAAAAAAAATTGTATTTATTCATAGCTGAAATGGATTTACATCCTGCTAACTTTTCAGGCTTCTTTACCGGGATGAATAATTATGTCAGTTTCTATCGCCTTAGCAAAAAAAGCAGCAACAACTACATTCCATCTCATCTCAGAACAATTTGCCAAAAATGAGTCCAGACATAAGGGCAGCAAATGCGATCAATACCATCTAAAAATAATAACTTTAATGCGGATACACTTTCAAACTGCATGCAGAACCTTAGATGAAACATAACTAGAAGAAACACAAGATTTTGAATTATAGGAATTGTTTTGAAAAACATCATAGCATAAAACCACTAACTAGCTCAGTAACTGAAGTGTCACCTTAGCTGTGTCAGTGCACTGGTTTTTAGTGGTAACGGTTCGAAAACCACCACATTCCTCTGATCTTTGCACTAGGCAAGTCTATATATATAAGCATAACAACTCACCTGAAAAACTGTAATTCCACTTTCTGATGTCTGATTACCCGTGACTTGAGGAATTGTCTCAAGTGCGGCAAGCCGAGCCTGAAATTAGAGACATATGATAAAATTTGCAACTGAGATAGATAGAAAACATATTTCCAGTAAGCTGAAATAAGAGTAGAATCATGAAATTTATTTTGCTAACCTTAAGGTTATTATTCTCCCTTTCCAAATTGGTCTTCGCAGCTTCCACTCTATTCTTTTCTTCAATTACGCGACGCACTTCGACATCCATATTCTGAATCATTCCAGTATATTTAAAAATACGAAAAATATTTAAGCAATATACTAAAAAGCAAAATCACTTCCATTTCATAAACTTGAATTTCGCAAAATTTAAAACAATAAATAATACCGCAGCATATCCACCAGCTGCAGATTTTGATTCTGGGGACAACATTCGAGGAGGCGTTTTGTCTCCTTCGCATTCCGTTGCAGAAGGATGCTCAAAGACCACTCGCAACTTTGAATCCATAAGTTCGGATGGCTGTACATTTTTCCAAATACTACCTGTATTTTTCCAAATATTATTTGTTTGTGAAATCATGCTAATCAGAATTATGTATCAAACTATCCACAAAATGCAAACACTCTAGCTGTCTGATCCAAGTGAAAATCCCACCAAAAACCTTACTGTTCCTAAACTCTGCAAGAACCTATTACATGAAGGCGCTCATACAGCGACTAAAGCTTCGATCCTGCGACGAACAGTGTCATACCTTGGGTTCCGTCTTATTCAGACGAGGCTGACCAGTCCGCCTCAGCCATTAGTCACCAAATCTAAATCATCGCGCACTTAACAGAACCGAACTCAAACATACTTAACTGCTAACTATTCCATGAACCACTACACCAAGCATCACCTCACCCCTGTTAAAAGAGCATCCAAGAAAAATGGAAGTGAAACTTAAACCTAAATTCCATCGACTACTTTTAAAAATACCTGAATTTAAATATATTCCAAATGTCATTTTTAAATTGCAAACTACCAAATGCTTTCAATGGAAATTTAGAACCAGTC